CCCTACACGACGCTCTTCCGATCTCCCCAAAACCCCAAAACCCCAAGAGGAGAAAATAATATTTTGAATGAAATTATAACATCTAAAACAATATATTGAAACTTATATAGGATTTATAAATGTGTGTAACTAGGATTCATTGAATGTATTATGGTCACTTATGATAATGCTTTTAATTAGGCAAGTTGTCCACATTAGTATTTATGAGTTGCTAACCATTTGCATTTGCATTCATATTGATCTTTAGTAGAACTATTTGATCAGAGTTCTCATCATCTTTCATGCTTCTTCCCATTGGGTCATGATCTTACAATTGGTCTCTGTCATCTCCAACTGAATCCCCATCTCTTAAGTCTCCCTAAGACCCTGATCTGCTACTTACTATAACATTGTCTCGCTTCCTGTGAGATTGCTATCCAGCTGTATGAGAGTTGGACTAAATCCTCTGAGTATTGATCTCAGGAACAACACTCTGCTCTTTTATCTTAAAAGGCTGAGGAGATTTGATTTACTGATGTTGTTGACCATTCACCTTATCCAGATCAAATCTGAATTATTAATGAGTAGTTGGAATAACTACATTTTCTTAAAGTAATATTGGTGATCTACCACTTGGCTTTGAATTATTTTCATTCTCATTAGTTATTCTATTGCTAGGAGGTCTCTAGCTATTACTTATTCTCTTCTTTGGTACTTCAACCGTTAGATTGCTTCTAGTTGAAAGTCTTTTGACTTAGCCATCTTATTTCACAGCAAGTGATGGAGGAGATGCATTTTCCTCTTATTTTATTTTTATTTCAGCTTCTGAAGTATTATGGAGACTCTTAGATAGCTCTCTAGATGCTGCCTTACTGGACTTTAGGATACTTTAAAGCTTTTTTCTGTTAGCAACTACATGAGATACATTAACAGGTCTTTGTCTGAGCATTCTTGAGGAATCTTCATCCTCGTCTTCTTCTTCCTCTTCACTATCATCTTCATATGAGCTTCTATCATCATCTTCATCTGAGCATTCAATATCCTCCTCAGTTACATATTCCCATTCTTGCTAAAGTTGCTCTGATTTTCTAGTCTCATTCATCTAGAAGGTATCTTCAGAAAGAAGATCGAAATTATCTTAATTGTGCTACTCTAGGTATACCTTTTCTTATTCTCTTTTGTCCTTGTTGGTAGAGTATTGATTTTTCCAGGCCTTGAAAGATATATTCATATACATCTGTAGCATAAATGGATTGACTTGAGCTGCCTAGTTTCTCTCGTTCTTTAAGGATTTCTTTTTCATTTTCATCTTAATTGCTTCTATCTTTTGCATAGTTCGAAGTTCATGGTCGACTAGAATCTTATTTTTCACATGCAGCTCACCATAGTACCTTCTCATGGTTCTGTAAAGAAGCTCATGGAAGTACACAAACCCATCCTCATCGCTCTATAGCTCCATAAGAACTACATCCTTAATGATGTCCTTATCACTCTTATCACTCATGCCCAATGGTGGATCCATAGCTCTGAAATAATTAACCAGCTTAGTATCTTTAAGCTTGAGACAATCATGGTCTGCAGTAAATCTAGTCCAGTTCTTCTTAAAAAGTACTAAATCATCCTTAAATCTTTCCAATACATTATCCTCCTGAAGATAATAGATTTCGAATTGTTGAATAATAACCATAATAAATAGATTCAACATGATGAACTATGTTATCATAATGTAGGGAATAAAGAAGACTGGGGCATAGTTAATACCACAGTTTTAACCTGGAATACAGTTGTCCTCTTCGGTTCTCATACAGTCATACATTACATAAATCCAATCTTCTCCAGTTGACATTCTGATCATTGTCATCATTGAGGCGCTGAAGTTTATAAAATTTGTGTTCTCATCTACTACTTACCCTTTTGTTATACCTCTAAATAGGAAATTTCCAAGCACGGCAAAAATGAAATATACCAGCATAAGCAAAGAGAATACATTAAATAGAGAAGGCAAAGAAAATGTAATGGTTTAGATAAGTGCTTATAGTCCCTTATACTTATTGATAAGCCTAAATAATCTAGAAACTCTCATTACTCTCATTACTCTTGCTAGTTATGGTCCTACTCTGAGAAACTTCAGTGAATTGGTGCTCAATTGATTCATAACAATATCGAAAAAACTTGCGGATACCACACAAAAATCGAAAATATTCCAAGAAGTTTTAAAATAACTGCCTCCATAAGCAAGAAGTTTAAAAAGACATTCGAGTGCAAATATTCCAGTGAAAAAGTAGTTTATGTAATCTAGCATATTATTGTACTCTAAAGATGAGCCCTCAAAATTAATAGCCATTTAGAACATATTTAGAACTATGCAGGTCATAATAAAGATGTCAACATAATTATATTTGAAGCACGCGCCTGTCATTACAGAATGAATTTAAGCTCTCCACAATTATTTTGGTTTGTTGGTAGTTTCTAGATCTGGGTTTGAATTGATAATCATTTTCATTATATCTACCCATTTTGCTTATTATTCTTTCAGCATAAGACTTGCCTTTTCTTCTTCCTAGGCATCCTAAAATTCTTTGAAGATAACACCGACGAATAAATTGAGGAACAAGAAACTTCCAATCAATATGTAAACAACGAAAAAATACCCATTGAGAGGAGATGCATTAATTGCTGGACCTATTTCTACTCCCTATGAGTTGATTGTGTTATACATAATATCTGGCCAATTTTCTAGTGTTGCTAGTGCAAATAGAGTAATCATAGCTTATGGTACGTTGTCAAAATTATAATCTTAAGTTTTCCATTAACCTCTGTTTTAAAGGCATTATACCTTATTATGATAAAGATAAGGTAATTCTGAGCAATATTGCATTTTTCCGCCAAAAAAGTTGACAGCTAAAATACCAAACATCATCCAAACAACAACAACAACAATAAGCACATTAAAAATACCTGATACTGAACCTAAGAGAGCAACAACAATAGTTTTCATTCCTGAGTTGTGCGAGATAAATCTAAGTGGTCTAAGTGTTCTTAATAGCCTAAGAATCTTGATGATAGGTAGATTAACACTTTCGAATGAGGCGTCAATTAGTGAAGTGCAGACTATGAAAAAGTCAAGCTAACTCCAAGTTTCTCTTAGATAACTTCCCTTATCTTGAATAAATCCGAATGCTAAGGATTTCAGTACACTTTCCATAGCAAAGATGGCTGTGAAAAAATAATCTACATCTGCAGAGATTACTTGGATTAAATCGTCCTCAGGATAATCATAAATGTAAGTATCAACCACTAGTTTAATTGAAGATAAGATAATAAGGATCAGAATCACAGTTTCAAACCCTGTGTGAGTTACTATTCTATAGAGGAATATTCTAAGCTTGTTCTTTTTAGTCATGAAGTAAAAACTGAGATTACAGTCAACTCCCTCGAAATCCACTTTTTTTTTCTTTGTTACCACCTTCTTGGTCAAGGCTTCTTTAGTGAACTCAAAGCTTTCATCAAGTATATTTTCATCTCTCTTCTTCTTCTTCTTTTTCTTTTTTACCCCCAAACCTTTCTTTGACTTATCATTGCCACTTTGATCCTTTGCTTCCTAATAGTATTCAATCAGTTCTTAGCCCTCTTTCTTTCCTAGTTCTTCTAGATGCTTCTTCCTAATAGCTTTCTCATCACCTTCTTCTCCATTACTTTTATGCGGGGTCTCCTCTGTAAATGAATCAAGCAAGATAGCTAGAAAGAGATTGAGCAGCATAAAGTTTCCAAGAAATACCCAGGATATAAAGTACAGAATAGAAATTGGCTAAGACACTCCTGACCTTAAGGCATCATATAAAAGATTAGGCCATCCTTCAAGTGTCAAAATCTAAAAGGTAGTCAAGAATGCTGAATTGAAATTATTGAAGTTGGTTCTAGGGACTCCAGGAGGATCATTGAAGTTTTCCTCAAAGTCAAAGTTTCCTCCAAATATTTGCATTCCGAGTAAAGCATAGATGAAGATGAAAAGCATCAGAAGTAATGCAAGGTAAATGAATGAGTCCATGGATCTAATGAGTACACTAATAATGACCTGCATAGATTACATAGATCTCAAAAGACGAGCTACTCTCAAGACTCTGAAAGTTCTGAATATTCTAATGGATCTAAAAGCAGACAGATTAGTTCCTGAATTACTAAGGATGGTCATCTCAACAATAGATAGGATAACGACCATACAATCAAGGTAGTTCATTTTATCTTTGAAATATTTTACAGGTCCTAGACCAATCAACTTGAAGCTTAATTCACAGATAAATATCCAAGTAAAAATAGTATTCATTGTTGACAAGTTTTACTGGTCAGTTGAATTAATTCCGTACTTATCAAGAGCTAGAGCCACTGTATTTACAAACACAGATGCTGTCATTAGGTTATCGAAGATTGGGCCTTTGACAAAAAGCTTCAGTGGCACTTGAAATTGTTTCCAATATCCGAAAATCCATTTAGGCCAAATTCTAACTTTTGATATCTAGCTGATAGCTTTAAAGGCATGTTGAGGATCAAAGTCAGTTAATACATCTTAGCCACTCCATTGCACAGTATTTTTCTTGCTAGAAATGGCTTTCTTCTTAGCTTTGAGGATTTCAACTCTGCATTCTAAAGGCCAATCAAGGAAGTCATCATTTACTTATTCTTCCTCGCTGTTAGTGTCTTCCTCTTCTTCCTCCTCTTCCTCTTCTTCATCATCATTCTTCTCTATTTTAAGCATGGCTACTACCTTTGGATTATTATCCTTCTCTTCTTAAGTCATTCTATTTAATCTTTTGTTTCTGATAATTCTAAAAATTTCTGATCTGTTTGCATCTCTGTTTACTTCACTTAATATGAGTCTTCTTTACAGTTAAGGATCTTTAGCTGCTGCTTTTTTTAATAGAAGTTCTCTTTTAACTGCACTATCCATTACAGTTTAATTATTTTCGGACTATCCACCTTGTCTTTTCCTTATTTCCCCTATAAGTGAAACATTTGGCTTTGCTCTCTTAATTGATTTGGATAAGATTACATTAGTGGTGCTCTTCATAAAGAGTTCAGTTTTAACGTCGTTATTAAATTGATCAGCCTCTCCAAGTATCCTTAGATTTTACTTTCTTGTCCCTGAGAAGGTAGTCTTATTATATCTCTTCAGAGGAGATTATGCATTTATGCTATTATTGGTACCTTGACCATTAAAAACGCTCATACTTTGATTAAATGAGTCATTGAACATCTCCTCATTATCATCCATTTTTAAGTTTATGTTCTGTATCTTCCTCGTTTTATTAGTCCTGATATCTTTCTTATCGTGAATAGCTATTGATAATGTACCAGTAACATGGATATTTGTAATATAAGGCTCGTTGTACTGTAACTAGATAAGTGTCATGAGTTCACTAGGATCAAGACCAAGATAGTGCAAATACTCAATCTAGTCTTCATCTGGTGTGTATAACTTAGGCGAGTAACATACCTTTTTTTAGTAAGGTTTTAGACCGAAATTCTTTGAATATGATGTTGCAGTAATTCTCTTTTCCTCCTTTATCTTTTCCTTCATAATTTCCTCTCTCTATTCGAAAATATCTTGACTTGCAAAATTAAAGTCAAATTTTTCCTTTTTAATATAAACTTTTTAGTGCTTTTAGAGATAATCACTAATGAGGAATCTGGAGTTAAGAACAGACTTATCAATTGGAATTGTATCTTAATTAGATATTGTGTTTGGACCATGTCTTATTTTTATTATCTCATCTGCAGTCTTAGGATCGAATGAGTTCAACTCATAGGGGATAATTTTAGCGCTGCCCATTGTCCTTCTTCTCATTTCCTTTCCATCTCTTGTTTTTTAATTAACTATGAGAGGATTAGCATCAGACTAAATGGTACCATTTTGATTAATAGTAGTCAAATTGCTGTGCGATAGATTGTTTTGAGGATTTGTTGCTGTAGACTCAGTCTTCTTTCCATTTCTCCCTCCATAATTGTTATTATATCCTCTTGGATTATCTCTTTGATTTATATTATTATTAGATCCTGAAAAATCTGTGATTTAGCGATTGATTGGTACTTCATTAGAATTTATGATATCATTAGAAATACTTTAATATGTCTAGGGAGATTCATTTATTTTTTGGTAATTTTCAATTTAATTATGGATTTGCTCTTGATTATCATCATACTCATATGATATACTAAGATCTTAGCTCATAAAATAGTGGTTAGTATTCTTAGATCTTTGTCTATAGTAGTTATTGCCGCTTTTGGCAAACTATCCAGTAGCTTAAGTATGAGGGGTTTAGTTTTTATCATCATTAATTTCTTCCTCAGATCTCATATTTGGAATGAAGTTTGGATTTCTTTGCAAGAAATCATCAGTTAGAATTGATATTTCTGAGAACTATTAACCCCTGAATTACTCATCATCTATCATCTCTAGAATCTAAGATGTGTTCGCTATGTTTTCAACTTCTTCAACCTACCTAGCAATATCTGCTAACTGGTCTTCAGAAAAGTTTTTCTCAAGTATATCAAGGTCATGATTAACAAAGTCAATGAAAAATTAGCCGTCTATGCTTACTTTTTTTGACAATCTTCTAGAGTTTCTGACACTAAGGATGTTGTTGTCGAGAACCTATTGTTACTCCCTTCTCTTGTTCTTATCATTTTTCTTGAATGATTACATACCTACTAATTTTATCTTTTTTCCTGGTGACTCTATCAGTATTCCGTCAGGTTTATTGTTATTCAAGAATTGAATTTGATTGTTAAAGTTTAATCCTCTAGAAGAAAGTCTTCTTATCTCACTCTAATCATTTTAAGTCCCAGATTTCGGAGTAGACTTACTGCCATTACTACCATTTCTTACATTTTTAGATGATTAAAGATGTTTATTACTAAAATGACGGTTGTTTGCTATTATATTACTGAACTCAGTTTTATACTCATCATCTTCCTCAGCAATTGCTTCATGATCGAAATTTCTAAGAGTGTGAATATTAATCTTGTTTCCATTATTACTAATTTTCACATTTTTTTCATCTCCGAGAATTGCTAGATTTATCTGCTAAGCATTTGATCTGCTTTAGTTTTAAAGTAGTTATCTTTAAGATTGCTGAGTCTCTAATTCTAACTTGGCTGAAGAGTTTTATTGAGATTCACCTTCTTAGTTTTATTCTAGAGTTCCAAACAGTAGACCATAATCATATCCTAAAGTATTACCAGCATTTTCAAGTCCTGTACTCGCAAAGGTTGTTTTATTTTTATTCGTCTAGGTGTCATTATTAATCTTTTTCTCTTTATATTGCTTAATTCTTACTCGTATTCTCTCTTTGATAAATAGAATCATTCTCCATTTTTTCAAGATCTTTTTTCTTAATTCAAGTTCATTTTCCTCTCTAATTTTTTTGGCCACTTCATCGAGATAGTCATAGTCAACATAATCATTTGCAAGGGCTTTCTTATTTCCCATTCCTCTTTATTTTTCTAATTTTCTATCCTCATGCTGCTTGGTGAACTTGGATTTTATAACTGCCAATGTCAAATTCATTAGGAAAAAAGCCCCAATAAAGACTAGTGGTATGAAGAAAAAGAAGGATAAATTAGTAAAGGATTTATCTATTTAATGCATGGTAGCAGTCCACCCTTCAAGTGTTACACTTGTAAAAATTGCAATAAGTGAGTAGAAAATAGTATCAAAGCTCGTTTACCCGAAGTTTGGATTTTCATTTCTCTTTCCACAAAAATATCCTGGGTCACAATCTTTATATCCACAAAAATCATCATCGGGATGAGCAACTCCAGTTTCTATATTAACGCATCTTTTCTTCAAATATCCTCCAAATAGTTAGAGTCCTGCAATAGCGAAGATAAAGAAGAAGAATAAAAGCACAATAATTGTGTCTCTGAGTAAAGGTAGTGAGGATAGCAATGCTGATACGATAACTTTGAGACCCTCAATACTGGATATAGATTTTAAAGGCCTCAAAACTCTGAATGCTCTTAAACCTGAAAGATTAAGACTCCCTCCTTGTAGAATAAGTGGAAGATAGGCTGTAACGACAATCACAAAATCCATTATATTCCAAGCATCTCTAAGATATGCTCCTCTATTAAATGCAAATCCAAGACCAATAATTTTAAGAGCCATTTCAATGGTGTAAAGAGCCAAAAACAATGTATCCATAAAATCTTGATAATCTTTAGGAGTATTATCAGTAGGATCCTCAATAGCAAGGGATACACTATTAGCAACAATAACAAGTAGGGACACTGCTTCAAATAGTTTTGATTTTATAATAGCAAATGCCAGATGATTTATGTTTATTCTAGTTATGCAGAGGATTTGTTTAAATCTTATACATCTACCTTCAAAGTCATCGACTCTTTCAATAGGCAGTTTATCAACAATCATCAGAAATGAATTATCATCATTAGCTCCCTTTGCCTAATAATCTTAAAACTAATTCATAATCATTGCCTTGGCTCTTTTATCATCAAGTTGAGGCTTCTCATTAATATCATAGTTAAATCTTTTGTAGATATCAGAATTGTCCAAATCTGCATCTATGTGGACGATTGAATGTTCCATCCTACGCTTCATTCTTTCCATCAGAGATTGATCTTCACTTTTTGTTAAGTCCATATTTATAGGATGCTTTTTTTTATCTTTTTATGATTTGCTCTTTGGCCTCAATAGATGATCATCCGTCTGCATTGTCTGGTTTTTATTCAGAACGCTAAATTTCGGAATAAAGTCATTTTCTTCAGAATCCTTGTTTTAAGTAGTGTAATCATCATCGGCAAATTTTGAAGTTTGGCTTTTATGATGAATGGCACCAATGTCTAATTCTGAGTTATGCAGATCATCAATAAACACATGATTTTATTAGATTTGAGCATTGCTATTATAACTAGGATTATTCAGCTGGATGGAAACTTAATGGTTTAAATTTCCGTTTTAATTCTCGATAAACATTGGTGTTCCCCTTAATGAATTACTGTGAGCAGGAGGAGTAATTGACATATTGATATGCTTTGGCATCATTACATTCCTAGCACTATCAACCAGTTGTGGTGTATCGAGTTCCCTAGACTCATACATTTTTTCGTCTTCATAGTCACCATTGTCTAAAAATTCACTTCCTTTTGGGTTCTTATAGATAACCGAAAAATTCGGATCTTAAAACCATTAATCAGGCTTGCCTTGATTATGAACACTGTTACTGACGCCATCGTAGTTTAAATTTTAGACATCAACATTTTCGAAGCCAAGTTGGAGATCATCAAAAAAGTTCAAATTTATTGTTCTCTACTATGAAAACTTAGAAAATCCATTGCTCTGAAAAGGAGCCATATTGTTTTAATTCTTTAAAATTCGCATAGTTGTATTCTTCTATAGAGTCCCAGATTTTTATTCTAGTGGTGAAATCTTTTCACTGTCCCCTCCTTAAGACATCCTAGCTGCCTTAAAGGATATCTTCTATTAAGTGATAGGTTCATTTGCTCGTTTAGATTTCTTCTTGAAATTTAATTCAAGATCATGATTGCCAGATAATTATCTTCCATACTAAGTAACTAGTCCATTATTAATCTTGGGTTGTTTTCCTTGGTTAGAGTTAGTACTATTTTAGGGCAATTGACTATTTATTTGAGAAGTTGGCGGATTTTGATCAGGATTTGTAGAAAACTGTGGAACTGCTTCTTGCTGTTGGGTATCAGAAGGCGGACCATTCGCTCCAGCATTAATTTATTTATTCAAAGAGCTGTCCCTCTAATGAAAATTATTTAAGAGGCAAATTATATGAAATTATAAAACTACTTACTTTCGGGGACTTTGGTGGTTTGCTTGATACATTCTTTGGATTATCAGAAATAATAGCATTTACATCTGTCATATCCTCTCTCTGATAAATATTATGATAAAACTTCAAACTTCGAAGCAGATAATTAGGTGAATAAGGGCATTGGACTTACCTCAATTACATTTTCATCTTAAGGAACATCTACGTAGTCCACTCTCACACTACGATCTAGATATTATTACACCTATAAATTCTCTTTTACTCAATTATGTTTACTTTTTGCGACTGAGATTTTTATGATAAGAGCGAATGATTATTCTATTCTTAATCGCCTTATTTCATTATTTAAACATTATTAATAAATCAGAGACCTTATATAATTTCATTTTCATTATATCTTTAACTTCAGCTTTTCAGAATGTTGGGGTTTTGGGGTTTTGGGGAGATCGGAAGAGCAC